CATAGTACTATGTGTCCCCAGTTATGAATGAACAGGAGGTGATGTAAATCACCTCCTGTTCATTCATAACTGGGGACACATAGTACTATGTGTCCCCAGTTATGAATGAACAGGAGGTGATGTAAATCACCTCCTGTTCATTCATAACTGGGGACACATAGTACTATGTGTCCCCAGTTATGAATGAACAGGAGGTGATGTAAATCACCTCCTGTTCATTCATAACTGGGGACACATAGTACTATGTGTCCCCAGTTATGAATGAACAGGAGGTGATGTAAATCACCTCCTGTTCATTCATAACTGGGGACACATAGTACTATGTGTCCCCAGTTATGAATGAACAGGAGGTGATGTAAATCACCTCCTGTTCATTCATAACTGGGGACACATAGTACTATGTGTCCCCAGTTATGAATGAACAGGAGGTGATGTAAATCACCTCCTGTTCATTCATAACTGGGGACACATAGTACTATGTGTCCCCAGTTATGAATGAACAGGAGGTGATGTAAATCACCTCCTGTTCATTCATAACTGGGGACACATAGTACTATGTGTCCCCAGTTATGAATGAACAGGAGGTGATGTAAATCACCTCCTGTTCATTCATAACTGGGGACACATAGTACTATGTGTCCCCAGTTATGAATGAACAGGAGGTGATGTAAATCACCTCCTGTTCATTCATAACTGGGGACACATAGTACTATGTGTCCCCAGTTATGAATGAACAGGAGGTGATGTAAATCACCTCCTGTTCATTCATAACTGGGGACACATAGTACTATGTGTCCCCAGTTATGAATGAACAGGAGGTGATGTAAATCACCTCCTGTTCATTCATAACTGGGGACACATAGTACTATGTGTCCCCAGTTATGAATGAACAGGAGGTGATGTAAATCACCTCCTGTTCATTCATAACTGGGGACACATAGTACTATGTGTCCCCAGTTATGAATGAACAGGAGGTGATGTAAATCACCTCCTGTTCATTCATAACTGGGGACACATAGTACTATGTGTCCCCAGTTATGAATGAACAGGAGGTGATGTAAATCACCTCCTGTTCATTCATAACTGGGGACACATAGTACTATGTGTCCCCAGTTATGAATGAACAGGAGGTGATGTAAATCACCTCCTGTTCATTCATAACTGGGGACACATAGTACTATGTGTCCCCAGTTATGAATGAACAGGAGGTGATGTAAATCACCTCCTGTTCATTCATAACTGGGGACACATAGTACTATGTGTCCCCAGTTATGAATGAACAGGAGGTGATGTAAATCACCTCCTGTTCATTCATAACTGGGGACACATAGTACTATGTGTCCCCAGTTATGAATGAACAGGAGGTGATGTAAATCACCTCCTGTTCATTCATAACTGGGGACACATAGTACTATGTGTCCCCAGTTATGAATGAACAGGAGGTGATGTAAATCACCTCCTGTTCATTCATAACTGGGGACACATAGTACTATGTGTCCCCAGTTATGAATGAACAGGAGGTGATGTAAATCACCTCCTGTTCATTCATAACTGGGGACACATAGTACTATGTGTCCCCAGTTATGAATGAACAGGAGGTGATGTAAATCACCTCCTGTTCATTCATAACTGGGGACACATAGTACTATGTGTCCCCAGTTATGAATGAACAGGAGGTGATGTAAATCACCTCCTGTTCATTCATAACTGGGGACACATAGTACTATGTGTCCCCAGTTATGAATGAACAGGAGGTGATGTAAATCACCTCCTGTTCATTCATAACTGGGGACACATAGTACTATGTGTCCCCAGTTATGAATGAACAGGAGGTGATGTAAATCACCTCCTGTTCATTCATAACTGGGGACACATAGTACTATGTGTCCCCAGTTATGAATGAACAGGAGGTGATGTAAATCACCTCCTGTTCATTCATAACTGGGGACACATAGTACTATGTGTCCCCAGTTATGAATGAACAGGAGGTGATGTAAATCACCTCCTGTTCATTCATAACTGGGGACACATAGTACTATGTGTCCCCAGTTATGAATGAACAGGAGGTGATGTAAATCACCTCCTGTTCAATTATGACTTTCTCAATGGAGAGAAGCACTCACTATAGAGCAGGGCTCAAAATTTCCACTCGCCCCCACGCAATTTTCACTCGCCAATTGCTAGCGGGCGAGTGGAAATTTTGAGCCCTGCTATAGAGGCTTTTCCCCATTGAGAATCTGCTTGATAGTAAACATCTTTGTGAATCAATGGGAAGCCTCTGTACTGAGTGTTTCCCATTCACTGAGTGCTGAGGCTGCAGGAAAAGGCATTGAGGACAATATGTCCTCAATGTCTTTTTCTATTTCAAAAGGGAAATGTCAGGGGTAGTGATACGTTGTGTTGCAATTAAATATACGTCTGTATCATTTTATCACAACACAAACACCAACACAGCGCAAAAGCCACTTATAACATAAATCGCTTATTTACAGTTTAGCGTTCCTTAATTATTTTTTTTTATAATCCCCCTTTCCTCAGCCTCTCATTGGTGTGGCAGTATTAAAGTAAAGTGTTAGGCCTCATTCAGGTGCCATTCACACCAGGGCGGAAGCGTTTTATCGTGGTTTCCCCACGATTTTTGAAAGAGCATTTTTGGCTGTTTTTAGTCGCGTTTCAGCACTGAAACGCAATTAAAAATGCTCAATGGTGTTGATCAGC